GCCTTGCTCAGCACTTTCTGCCCAGCTTCCTGGTGGCTGGCTTCCAAGGCCTGCTTTCTGTCCCAGGACCTTACAAAGGCCCCTTTGATGAAAAGTTTGTGGCAAAGTGACTGTGTCATTTGATACAAATGAGGCTCATGGGGGTACAAGTTGAGCTTTATTCTTCTATTTTTGGATTTTCTAACCCAGAGCAAAATGATCAGCTGAATGGGGCGAGGGGCAGAAGCCAGGAGGGAGGGGAACCTCGGAGGAGTTGGAGAGCTTGAGGCTTCTGGTAATTAGCCCTGTGATTAGCAGCTGCCAGATCTGAGTGTGACCTGCACGCAGAGAGGTGCCTCCTGCTCCCTCAGATGCTGCTTCCAGAGCCCATGGTGAACCAGGGTCCTCTCTAGCTGGGAGGAGACCTCAGCATCCCCCACCCCCTTTCACAATGCACCCCCTGCTCCCCTCCCACCTACTGATGGGGTGTTCAAGGCCATAGTCTCTCAGGGTGGGACTTGAGAGGTACCACCAAAGCCCCTGACCTCAGGGGGTCTCCATATAACCCCCAGTCTGGCCTCATGTGTGGACCACCAGGGCAGTGGCACCAGGCCCCATGCTCAAGGGGACCCTGTGATCAGAGGGAACTCTGTGCTGGGGGGATGCCAAGCTGAAAGGGACCCCTGCATTCGAGGGGAGGGGCACACTTGGTTTCAGACTCTGCTGTCACCACCTTGCAATTTTTAATGTTTTTAACACCTGCATTGTCCTTTGCACCGGGCCCCACACATTCTGGAGCTGGTTCTCTCCACTTCTCCCAGTTCTTGAAATCGAGTGGACAATTCCTACACCCTTCCCTGCTCATCTCTTACTAACACCTATCATTTGTGTAGCTCCTCATTTACCATGAGCTTGCACCCCCTTATCAAACTCACCAGTCACCACAGCCCTGTGAGGTGGTTACATCACCCTCTCACAGCTGAGGAGGAGGTCGTTTGTGGGGATTTGTCCCATGACCTCAGGCCCTTTGTTCCCCCTGAGGAACAAACATGCTTGCCTCCTGACACATGTATAACCCATCCTACTGAAGTGTAGGAAATTTGCAAGTCCGAAGCTGGTTCTCCACTTTGCTCTTAAAAGCCAACCAAGCCCGCCGAGGGTGCTTAATAAAGACTGACTAATGAACCTGCAGCTGCTGCTCCTTTGGCTAATTAAGTCTAAATAAGTCACAGACTTTAAATTATGCAACAAGGCTTGGCCAAAACAGCTTAAAAATGCGGGAGCCCCAGCTTTTCTGCTGTGCCCTGTGGAAAAATCCCATCTTTTAATCACGCTTAACCTTCCTGAAGGAACAGTGGCAGCCTTTAAATAATGAATGAACGTCTATTAGCAAGGTTTTCCCAAAGCTGCACACATCAGAGGTGGATCAAAAAAGGGACGGAGACAGAGACAGGCCTGGGGGATGCCTGAAGTTTCTGCGAGTCCGGGAGTGCTGGGAAAAGTCAGTTAGTTCCTTAGAAGGCCAGAGCAAGGACTTGGAAGGAGCACAGAGGGAGGCCATATGTATGGACACCCCGGGCTGCGCCCAGTGCTGATGGAGGTTCCCGCAGTACTTCCAGAAACTATGGGCTCAGTTATCCTCTCTCTCTTCTCCTGCCCATATGCACCTTACCTCCCCCAGACCCTCGAGGCTAAGAGCAATGTCTTCACAACAAGGCACAGGTAGAATTGAGTCATATCCCCTACAGCAGAGAGCTTCCCAGACTTTCTGAGATGCCCCAGGCAGTGCGGATGCAGCTGGTCCCCGGATGGCAAGGATTTAGGTTTCGTAATGTGGCTGCCCAGTACAACCAGTGGGGCACTTTTAAGGCTACCACCCCCCCCGCCCCCCGCCGGACATCATCACAAATCAATTAAATTCAACCCTAGGCTTTGGTTCTTTTTAAATTTTTAAAAACTGAGTTTGAGCCCGGCTGGCATGGCTCAGTGGTTGAGTACCAACCTATGAACCAGGAGGTCACAGTTCGATTCCCGGTCGGGGCACATGCCTGGGTTGCAGGCTCGATCCCCAGTGTGGGGCATGTAGGAGGCAGCCAATCAATGGTTCTCTCCCATCATTGATGTTTCTATCTCTCTCTCCCTCTTCCTTCCTCTCTGAAGTCAGTAAAATATATATATTTTTTAAAAAACAAAAAACTGAGTTAGAGTCTAGATAACTTACAGGTCACCCAAATGGAAAGCTTAACCAACGTGCTGCAGCCAGTTATCTGCTAAAGTGGGATTAGAAACATACATGGCAGGAAGTGGCCTTGGGAACCAGCCTGCTCCCCCTTCCCTCCTGTGACCAGCAGTCTCCAGGACTGGTCTTGCCCTTGAGCCCGGTTGCCACCAGTGTGGTTCCATTTGGGGAGCAGGAAAGATACTTCCATCTCCCTCTCCCTAAGCCTGCCTGAAACTTGGCTATGAGCGCATGATTGTTTGGGCGAAAGCTGAGTGTAATGTGTGGCTCTGTTACACCCTCAGTCTTGAGCAGCTCAGTATGGTGTGAGTGGGCTGACAGGCGAGCTGCCTGTTGAGCTGTAGGGGCCACTGGGCTTCGTCCTGTGGGACCTGGGATTCAGGAGGAGGAGGTTTCTAGGAACAAATGTGCTTCCTCTTGCATTTTTGCTGAAGGTACCCAGCACAGAGGGGCATCCTTCTAAGTCCCCAGGCCAGGCTGCTGTACTGGCTGTGTAAGGTCATGGGGCCTCAGGCAGAGGTCAAGAGGATGAGGGCAGAGCTGTTCCAGTCATGTATCCAGGGAAAATCATGACCTTCCTGCTGTGGTATGAGAATGAGGTCTTAAGACAGAAGTGAGCCAGGCTCAGATTGGCTGCAGCTGTACTCCACCCAATTGTCTCAACCCCACCACGACTCTGGCTCAGTGCTGGGGAATGGAGTGGGAGCTGGGCCTAAAAAAGGCTGTGTACGGTAGACACAGTCACTTACTCAATATCCACTCCTCCCTCTTCCCATACTCTCAGAATCCTAATTTTGTTCAATTCTGCAGTAGTGCCCATGCAAAAAACCAAAACAAACAAAAAAACAAACAAAAACAAACACCGTGCCATCTCCGATGCCCTGCAGCTAGAGCAGCCACATGACCATCTTCTCCAAGAAGGCTGCGAAAACGACCCAAAGTGAAATCCCTACCATTGAGCATTTAATGAGAAACGACAGCTTTATCACTTCCAAGTAACCTGTCCCACGGAGCTACACACAGGGGTGGATGCTTTGAGTTGAGGGGAAGATGAGAAGTCACCATAGACTTAGATGGCAGGATAATGTGTAATGACATTGAATCCTGGGGAGGTCATCTTTTTTACATGTGTTTTCAGCGAGCATCACTCAGAGCCTGAGGCAGAAACTTACTCTTTTGTTCTCTTAAGGCAGAGCCCTATGCCTGGGAAGAGGAGAGGTTCCTAAAGACTTGATGGATTGTACAGCTGCCCAGCCGCATTCAGTTTGCTGCATTTATCCCTTAAAGATTCCTATTCCTTCGCCAGCCGGTCAGCCATCATTCCTGGGCAGGGCTGCTGGGGTCAGTGCAGCTGACAGTGAGCTGGGGTGTGTGTGACAGAGAAGGGGTGGGGGCTGGCAATGGGGAGTTGAAGTTCTTTATCTTGTTACATATGCACTCTGCAGCCTCATTTTGAGCTTCCCGAGAGCCCTCTAGTGTTCAAAGTCTGTTCCTTTAGGTCGTGGCTGCCTGTTTATTTGGGGTGGAGGGAGGTGTGTGCAATTCTATTGTGGATAACTGTTTATTTGCTGTGTGTGTGTGTGTGTGTGTGTGTGTGTGTGTGTGTGTGTGTTGAGGGTTGGGCTGTGTGGCCTGTTTTTTTTCCCTCCTCCCACTTTTCCACTGGACTGCATTGCTGAGTCCCTCTGGGCCCAATCAGGTGTTCAGTTCTTCCTTTCCTAGGAGGATGCCCAGAGTTGGCTCCCCTGCCTCACCGAGGCAGGCACTGCTCAGGAGTAGGGGCACTCTTTGCCAATCAGATCCTGATAGGCCTGTTCTGGGCTCCCTGGAGCTTCAGCATCCCTCTTTGTGGCCCCAGGGCAGGCTCCAAGCCTGCATGACTGACTGTGCAGTCCTGTTCAGCCTGGCGACACATGGACCCTTGCCAGTGGCCTGGTGATGCTCTGCTGACATGTTTGCAGAGCTGGAAAGAGTCTCTTGTACTAGTTTCCTGCACTAGTGTTGCTGCTATAGCACGTGACTGTAAACTTAGAGGCTCAGGGCACCTCCCATGTATTCTCTTATAGTTCTGGAGGCCAGGGCTGCATTCTTTCTGAAGGTGTAGGAGAGAACCCCTCTTCTTGCCTTTCCTAGCATCTAGAGGCTGCCTTCAGTCCTTGGCTTGTGTACCCGCATCACTCCAACCTCTGCTTCCAAGGTCACATCTCCTCTCCGGTCCCCACCTTCCCGTCTCCCTCTTATAAGCACCCTTGTGATTACAGTGGGCTCACCTGGATAACCCAGGACGATCTCCCCATTTCAAGGTCCTTCATTTAATTGCACCTCAAAGTCTCCTTTGCCACATAAGGGGACATAGTCATAGGTTCTTGGGACTGAGACATGGACATCTTTGGAGGCCCCCCCGTGCTCCTCCCCCAAGCCTACCACTGCTCCCCACACCTCATGGCATGATTTCTGCGATTCTGGAAAGGCTTTCTAAACCCCTCTTCCTACGGATGCTTCCCTAACCTGCTAATTGTGAAACTGCCCTCTGAGCAGATCGAGCATCGCCATCCTTAGTGAGAGCTTGGGCTGAGTGCAAGGCCTGGACATGCCACTCACACTAAGGTGTAAAAGGCTGACAGCGAGCGGTGATTTCTAACAGCAAGTTCTGATGGCCCAGAGACAGCGTGTTAGGGCAGGAGGCGCCAGGGAAGGAGGAGGCAGGGTGGCTCGGGCTAACGTGGCTCATGTCCCAGCAACACTAAACGGAGGCTCTCAGTGATGGAGAGAACCAAGGCACTTAGAAGTATGACCACAAAGTTTTAATCAAACAGAGCAAGATGGCCGCGATGCAGAACAGGTAGTGCTTGGAGAAGAGGAAGAAGATCATCTCCTTGGTGACATAGATTATGTGTATGAAGATGAAGCAGTACAGGAACATGGCAAACTGGTTCTGGGGGTGCAGGAGGTCCTGGAAGCTTCCCGAGAACTGTGGGGGAGAGAAGAGAGTGGAGCTGGAAAAATGGGGCCTGGGTGCCAGGCAGAAAGCTGGACTGCCATCCTGCTCTTGTGCCTTCCTGAATGGGACCTCCGGCAGGTGGTTGTCCTCACCGGAGGGAAGTAACAGTGCCCACCTCGTGGGTTAGCAGGAGAGAGAGGCAAGCAATAAACTCCTAGCAAGGTCACTGGCACAGAGAGGGCATTCGTGGTTGTCCACTTCCCGAGGCTGCTCTTATCCCTCCTGACTCAGGCCTTCCCTCTCTGTTTCATGTTGCCTCTGAGTCACACAGGTAGGCAGTCTCCTGGGCCTCTGAGACCCTAGATCTGAAGGCCAGGTCTCGGCATTTCCTCTGACAGTTTGCCCAGACACTTAACAGTTTGTTTTCTGGACAGTAGCACAATGAGAGGGTGTCCCCTGGGCACAGATGGACTGTTTCTGACTTTCTTGGTCCTGGCCCATGGCACATAGGGTCAGTCTGTGGTCCTTCAGTCCAGGGTTTGGTCTCTCCTGTGGACAGGTGGTGAGAGATGGGGGCTGGGGGTCTCCCTCAACCCTGAGAATCTTAGGCCTGAGGAAAACTACTGAAGTTGTCTGGCTGATCCTGCCTGTGTGTTGTTCTTATCTGGAATCTATATAATTGAGGTTGACAGAGCCCATGGTAACTGTAGAAAGCGCCAACACATAAGGAAGGTGATATTTTGATCTGCAGTTAAGATACCACCCATGGTTTATCCTTTCAAGTATCTTTTAAAATCATGCCACATTTTTTGTAAACAGGCAGAGGGCAGGGTCTGTGGTTCCCTAAACTCAGTAAGAAACACACCCACAGAGGTAGTTTTCAATGCAATGGAATGTATCCCATTCACCCAGAAAAGAGAGAGTGGGGAGGAAGTTGAAATATCAGGTCAGCTCTCCACCTTTCCACAAAACACTTTTGTAAACTATTGCTAGAGATCGGGGATTTGGACACAGTGTTGCTGAAACCACTACATAAAATGTGAGGGCAACGAAATCAAACGGAGGGGGAAGAAGATGACTCCGTGATGCCCACTCTAGAATGCATGGCAAGCAGGGCTGGAGCCCAGAGGAGGAAGCCTGTGCTCTCGCAGGATGGCAGGGCTGGGCAGGTCTCATGGTCCCCTGCAGACTCCCTATGGCTCTGGATCCGCGGGCTTAACCTCTGCCATCTTTTGTGGTCTGCATGTGTTTTCCATCTGAAATGCTGCTGGGTGAGATGTATGATTTTGATAACAAAGCATGCATTTGTGAAACCTTTTAGACTCTTAAAACACTTTCAATGGTTTGAGTAGAAGTCAGAAAGCAGATTAGGACTCTACACCAAAGGTTTCTACCTCATCCAGCAAGGAGAAAGGTCTTCAAACAGAAAAGGGCAAATAAATGTGGTTGGGAGGAGACATTGAACAAAGGCATAGTTCCATACATACCTGCTTTCAATAGTATCGGGCTCCAACTTACAACAAATTTTATCCCAGGATATGGAGAATACAACAAGTTTGAAATGGAAATTGGGTGTGAGATGTGAAAAACATTAGGAAATGTGCCAGAATCTTAGAGATAGACAAATATTTTCTAGATTTTCAAAAAGCGGGGGGAAAAGATGGATTCTGGATATCCCCATTCAATTAGCTTCACCTGGCTCAGCAAACGCATCAGTGTACAATGAAGGAGGTATTTTGTGAGCAAGAAAAAAATGATAATTGCCAAGAAGACAGCATGTATTCTTTGAGAACAAATCATGCAACACCAACCCCATTTTCTTAAAAACTATATATTGGGGAAATGCTACAGGTAGTATAATATCATAATTCCAGAAGCCATCTGACAGTGTGTCTCAAATAGTGTTTTGGACAAAGTAGAGAAATGTGAGCTGGATAAAATATAACACATGGGTGGTGACTAATGGAACACGCAGGGAGATTTTTTGGTGGCATTTTCTTTAGGTCATACCCTCCTAACAGTTATAGCAATGACTTGAATAAAGGCAGAAGGCAAGTTTCTCAGAACTGAGGATGACTCAGAGCTGGGAAGCATAACTCATACATTATATTCCAATAAAACTGAAAAATGATGAGCGTTGCATTTGGGTCAAGAAGTGAATTGCATGAGTACATGAAAATGGTAGTAGCTAACATTTATTGAGTGCTTACCTAATGTGCTAGGCTCATGGCAATGTGCCTCACACACATTCTCTCATGTAATCCTCACAATGACCCTGTGAGGTAGGTACTACCTTATGGATGAGCAAACCCCGGCTCCAAGACAATGAGTAACTTGCCCAGTGTCACGCAGTTGATGTGCAATGGGGCCAGGATTTTAACTGTCTGATTTTAAAGCCCAGAGGAGACTTCTTTAAGCAATAACATCTTTCATGACTAAATGTTAATTATGACCCAGTCACTGTGCTAAGCACTTCACATCCCATTTAACCACAAGTAGGCGTTCTCATCCCCATTTAGTACAGATTAGGGGAGAATGGTCCATTTCTTGCCAAAGATGTCTAAATTTTAGTGTGACACCTTTGGCAGAGGGTGTCACACCTTTGAGTTGCCATTATTAGGGGTTCTGGGTCTAGCTTAAGTACTGCGTCTCTTCAAAGAGATGCAGAGAGGAACGGGGAGTGGTGGAGGAAACGTTGAAGACTCTTCCCCAAGAAGGAAGACCATGGGCAGGTGGGTGGACCAGATGGAGGCCCTTTCAGGGTCAACTCTCAGTTTAACACGGAAACTCTAAAGCAGTGAGCTCCCAGCTCTGGACCCAGGGCAGGATGTGGCTCTGAAGCAGGTAGGATGGGCTTCAGGGATGGAGGCTCCCTCACCCCTAGAGTCAGCCCCTGGCCATCTGGCAAGACCTGCAAAGTTCCCCCCACTTTCATGTCACTTACCAGGCGGGGCCGTGCCTGCTGCTGCAGCTGCTCCATCACCTCCTCGTGCTGCCGCTGCCGCTCATTCTCTTGGTGCAGGTACCTGAGCCGTGTGAGCTCAAACTCCATGCGCACCTTCTCCAGCTCCATCTCAGCACTGAGCTCAATTCCTGGGTTCCCCAGGGTCATGGGCCGCTCTGAGAAGAATTCAGGTCCATCGCCCGCCTGGCCCTTGGTGGTGGAGCCAGTCTTGGAGGACAGTGATTTGGGTGACCCTGAGCAGCCTTTGTCTTCACAAGTTTCCATCTCCTCCAGGTAGTCAGAGGAGGAGTCTGGCTTAGGGGACTCTGCCTCCTGAGGCGGGGAAAGGGGAAATAGAAGGATGGTGAGGAGTCAGTATGGGGCTGCCCCCTACTCCCACCCCAGGGCACGCCCAGAGCCCCAGGCCACAGGGGACTGCAGTGTTTGGAAGAGTGCTTGCTGGGAGTTGTAAAGATCTAGACTGAGTTCTTACTAGACATGCACTGACATGGGGTCATCAGGACCTGAGTTAAGAAGAGGAAGAGTGCAAGCTGACACGAAGGAATGAAACCCTAGAATTGAAAGAGATGCTGGGGAGCTGAGACTAAAGGCTCTTTTCCTGGTCATTTCAAATCACTTTGGAGGTAACTTCCCCACCTCCTACTCCACTTATCCTTGAGAAGATTGAGACACCCAGTCCTCTGGGGCTACCATGGGAGGAAGAAACCCGGGGTCTGTGCTGAGGGCACCTAAATATATGGGGACCAACCAAAGGGTCATGGAGGAGCTGGATCCCATACACGGAGGGAAGAAAGGGCCCCGAATGGGGAGGTAGTCAACTTTCAGCGGCTTCCCACAGTCTTATGAAGGGCTCTCTGGCCCCCGGTGATAGCTGGATGCCAGTTGTGGGGATGGGGTGCCCATCACCTGCTCTTCTTAGCAGCTCTCTGGAATCTCAGAGCACTCAGCTCCTATCACATGTCCCCACAGTACTCTCCCTCCCTCTGGGGGTCTAGCTGGAGCAGTGAGATGAGGCACCGCCCTTACCAAAGCAGCCCTGAACTTCCCTTCAGACATGGGGTCATCAGGCACCATCTTGGGGAAGGTTGGGCAGCTTTCTCCCGCCCCCCGGGCTTCCATCATCTCCCTGGCTTCTGTTGTCATCCTGAGATCCGCAATGCTGCCAATTGGGACCAAAGGACATCTTTTGAGGGACTCACATTTGGCCTCACCAGATTCTACAGCCTGGCCACCATCACAATCCCCTGCCCTCACAATAACCCACATTCTACCAGTTGCTAGGGCCCCTTTGGCAGAGGGCAGCACACCTTGGAGGTGCCATTATTAGGAACTGCAGGGTGGGCCTTTGCCACTCCTAGGGGCTGCTTTGAAAACTAGAATTCCACCACTCGAAGCCCAGAGTTCCATCATTTGAAATCTGCTCCCTTGGGGTCCTCTTTTACATGTAGACCATATGCGATGAGTCACAATTAGCTCCACAAACCCTGTTGTGGGCTGAATTCTGGCCCCCACTCTCAATTCATATATTGAAGTCTTTCCCCCCAGTACCTTAGAATGTGACCTTATTTGGAGATAGGGTCTTTAGAAATGTGATTAAGTGAAATAAGGTCATTAGGGTCGGTTCTAATCCAGTATGACTGGTGTCCTTATAAGAAGAGGAAATTTGGACACAGAGGAAGATGACATGAAAATAAGGGAGTAGATGCCATCTATAAATCAAGAAGAGGGCCTTTGTGTGAGTCAGGGTTCTCCAGAGAAACAGAACCAGTAGGATGGACAGGTGTGTGTGTGTGTGTGTTACATGTGCTTTATTATAAGGAATTGGCTTGTGTGATTCTGGAGGCTGAGAAGTGGCATGAGCTGCTATCTACAAGTGGGAAGCCCAGGAAAGCCAGTCTGAGCTCAAAGGCCTAGTAACTAAGAATGCTGCTAGTATAAGCCTCAGTCCAAGGCCAGGAGCAGACCAATATTCAGCTCAAGCAGTCAGGCAGCACCAATATAGCTTTCCTCCACCTTCTTTTTTTCTATGCAGGCTCTCAAAGAATTAGATGATGGCCATCTACACTGTGTAGAGCATGCGGCCTGCTGGCCGTGAGTTTGACATGCTTGGTGTAGAGCAATCTGGTTGACTCAGTCCCCCAATTCAAATGCTAATCTCTTCCAGAAACACCCCACAGACACACCCAGAAATATTGCTTAACCAGATATTTGGACATTCCATGGGTAGTCAAGTTGGCACAGAAATCACAGGCCTGGGACAGATTCTTTCCTCACAGCCTTCAGAAGGACCCAACCCTGCTGACACCTGGATCTTGGATGTCTAACCTCCAGAACTTGAGAAAATTAATTTCTGTTGTTTAAGCCACCCAGTTTGTGGTATTTTGTTACAATAGCCCTAGCAAATTCACATAACCTCTGTCATTCATCGATGGATTAAGGGGGGCCAGCAAAGAGATTGAGGGGCTGGGGAATACAATTTGCCATCTTCAGTTTTGGGGGGAAATGCCATCAAACAATTTTGGTAGTTGAAGGCAGGGTTGCTTTATGAAGAGAGAAAGGGCTGCATTTGAATTCTAGCTTTGCTACTCACTCTAGCTGTCCACTCATTCTAAAGAGGATAAGGATTTAGCCAGCCCCCTACAATTACAGCACTGATGTAAAAATAGAACGTGTATTTGTCCACTACCTGCCTATACAGGGACTAAGTAAATGGTAACCATCATTTCATTATTAAAAGGGATGAGTCTGTCACTGGGAGAAGAAAGTGCTCAAGCTCTACCTTCCTGCAAATCTTTAACTGAACCATGACTTCCCTCTCCCAGCATTCTGATGGTGACCATGGGAACTGCCTCACAGCTGTTGTGTAAGATGTCAATCCTGCCTCAAGCACTAGGAGTAGGCTTACCAGACAAACATAAAATGCCCAGTAAAATTTGAATTTTAGGTAAATGTTTTTTAGTATAAATACCTTCTAAAAATTGCATGGGACACGCTTATACTGAGATTATTCATTGTTTATCTGAAATTCACATGTAACTGGAGATTCTGTATTTTTAGTCGTACACCTGTCAATTTTAACCTGCTCAAAGGAACAAAGAAATAATGAACTGCTATTCAAACCACCAAGTACAGAAATATACAATAAGTGCTATGGGTAGTTAGGTCAGCAGTACATCAAACCACCATAAAATCTCAGTGGTATACAGCAATACACATTTATTTAGCTGGGATATCTAAGAGTTGGCTGGTCTTGGCTGGGCTCGCCTAGGGGGCTTGGCCGAGGCACTTTTATTCCACATGTCCCTTGTCCTCTTCTTGGGAACAGTGAGCTAGCCCGAGCATGCTCTTTTCATTGCAATGGGAGTAGCACAAGAGGTATTGGAGCTGACACACCATCACCTTTGGCCAATAATGTGTTTATATGGCCAAACCCAAAGTCACACGATGGTGAAAAGTACTCTGTTCCTTTAGTGGGAGGAACTGCAAAGACCTAGGGCAACAAGTATGGCTATGGGACGGGATGAAGAGTTGGGGCTCCAAACGCAATCTGTCATCATAGTCAAGAAGGTTGGTCCTGGCTGGTGTGGCTCAGTGGTTACGTTCAACCCATGATCCAAGAGGTCACTAGTTTGATTCCCAGTCAGGGCACATGCCTGGGCTGCAGGCTCAATCCCTAGTAGCCAGTGTGCAGGAGGCAGCTGATGGATGTTTCTCTCTCATCAATGTTCCTTTTTTTTTTTTTTTAAATCCTGAGTCTACCACCCACTTTTATTTAAGTTAATTAATTAATTAATTTACTTTTAATTGATTTCAGAGAGGAAGGGAGAGGGAAAGAGAGACTCATTGGTTGGCTGCCCCCTGCACACCCCCTACTGGGGATGGAGCCTGCAACCTGGGCATGTGCCCTTGACCAGAATAGAACCCGGGACCCTTCAGTCCACAGGCTGATACTCTATACATTGAGCCAAACCAGCAAGAGCTCTCATCAATGTTTCTATCTCTCTCCCTCTCCCTTTCTCTTTCTCTAAATTCAATAAAAAAATTTTTTTAAATAGATTTTTATTGATTTCAGAGAGGAAAGGTGAGGGAGAGAGAGAGAGAAACATCAATGATGAGAGAGAATCACTGATCGGCTGCCTCCTGCACGCCCCCCACTGGGGATCTAGCCCACAACCTGGGCATGTGCCCTTGACTGGAATTGAACCTGGGACCCTTCAGTCTGCAGGCTGACACCCTATCCACTGAGCCAAACCGGCCAGGGCAATAAAAACATTTTTTTAAAAAGGTCGGTACTGATACGGTTGGAGCAGCTAGGGAACGTTTGTGGGAGGCAGTGACATGAAGGACGGGTGGGGTTTGGGCAAGAGGGTAGGACCAGCATGAGCAACGTCTCGACTGATAATTATTATCCATTTGCCTCTCAGTTTCTGCTTTCTGCCCTTCTCCGCCCTCCCCTTTCCCTCGGAGGTGGACCTCCACAAAACTGCTCTAATTCATTCAGCAAAGCAATGTGCTCAAATGCAAAATGGAGTCTAGGATTCTCATTTTCTCTGTCCCAAGGTGGAATCCTCACACTCCTGTCCTTGAGGGGACTTTGCAGGAAGCTGGGAAGGTAGGTCTCATAAGCCGTGGGTGATGTGGCACTCCTGGCAGCATGGAAAGGGTCCCCCCTCCTCCACTGAGCCAGAGGAAGGGATGTGTAGGAAGGCCACATGAGAGAACAGTGGAGGCAGGACAGGGACACAGGTGGCTGGGGACTGGGCTGGGTTCAGCAGCCAGGGCTGGTGCACCTTCACCTGCCCTGCCATTGTTACGGCGCCGCTGATTCTGGTGTTTCTGCTGCATTATATCCTCTTCTCACCGTCACCCTTCCTGACATTTTCTTCCCTCTTATAGCCTCAGGGTGCATGGGATCTCTGCCTCCTCCCGATTTCAGCGTACTTGTAACTTCAACTTCTCATGGCACCTCATGGCCACTCTCTGTGTTGTTTGTCCTAACTCTCCGGTTCCTAGTGGACTTTTCCAAGGGCAAGAATCAGAACAACCTGGTTGGCCTCTATTTGGGCAAAGTGTTTCCTTCTAGCCACCAGGCAGTTGAGTGATTGGGAAAGTGCCCAGCCCGGTCAGTTGGCCATGGAAGCGTGGAAAGATGGAGAAGGCAGGGACATACAGTGCGGGGCGCAGCAGCCTGGGGTTGTCCATGAGTGGGAGCTGTGTGCGTGGGTCAGTTTCCCTTAGAAGGGGCATTGGGTGCAGCGGGCACCATGTTGATGATTATGGGCACATTCATAGAGCCACATGTCAATCATAGCTTTGGCAAATAACCAGAGGAGAGACTTGTATATTAACACAGGGCTCACAAGCTTTCACGTACATGATCTCATTTGCTTCTCAGAATGCCCTTGCGAGGTAATTTGAAGCAGGTACAATTATTGCTGCCTGGCAGGCAGGGAACCTGAGTCATAAGAGGGATGGAGTGATTGGTGTCTGAGCGCAGAGGATGTTAGCGGCCGAACCAGGACTGGAATGCAGGGTTTCCATCCCCCTCCTGTTGTTTTTTTAATACCAGACCATGACGATGGTTTTTTAAGGCTCCAACTCTAAGAGGTGAGGTGGTTTTTCTACCTCAAAAAATGAAAGAAGGTGGTATGTACAACACTGTTTATAGCAGCAAAAGACTGGGGAAAATCGGACTTTCTGCCAGGAAGGATGTGGTTAATTAGTGCTGTATCCATATCAAGAATAGTATGCAGATTTAAAAAAAGAATAAGCTTAAAGAAAAATCCAAATAGGTAGAGGCATCAGTGCAAATGTGGAATGCTCTCCAAAATATTATATTCAGTGGAAAAGCAGAACCAGTGTTCCCATATGCGTTGGGATATGCAAACGTCATACTTGTATATGTGCCTCCATAAGAGTGGTTCATGATGGCCATCTCGCAGTGAGAGAGCTGAGGTGCTGGGGTGTGGGGGTGGGGAGGGCATTATTAACTGTATAGCATTTTGTACCCGTTGGTTTTTAAAAAACAATGTGCATATATTACATTTTTAATTAGACTTTAAAAAGGTGTCTGGAAGAGAGAGCTCTGCTCAGTGTGAGTGACGGAAGTTTAGGATGCAGAACTTGTTCTAGTTGAGGACAGGAGGGGCATCTTGGAGCCGCTGAGCCACATCCAACCTACACATCATCTCCCCTCCCATGGCCCCCTACCGGTTTAGGGTAGTTTTTCTTCGGGGATGAAGGTCTTGCTGTTGAAATGTCCTCTTTCCTTCCCGGCTGCCCCAGCCTCAGACTGTTGTGATTTTGGGGCACTTCAGCTCAGATGTGCTGGAGCAATGAGGAGATTATAATAGATACACTGATACTAGCTTACATTTACTGGGCACTAACCACGTACCAGGCACCGGGAATTTTTCATAGATTATTTTACATAATTTTCGAGGAACCATATGAGTGACTAGTGAGTACTAGTATTATCTCTGCCATTACAGGGGTGGGGAGTGA